GCGACTCAGCAGTCTCAAGAGTTTATAGATTTGGACAGTTACAAACTAAAAATACCTCAGAAAGTTTGATTTGTTTTGTTTTGATTACTTCCCTGAAAAGAATGCCCAGAGAGATGAGAAATTAAAAATAAGAAAATGGAAACGGAAAGAAAATGTAGAGGGTCGTTTGGTTTCACTTGAATCAATGTCTCTGGTATTGCTTAATAATACTGATTGATTAAATAATGATATCAATATAGTAATCTGGGTAGAAAATTAAACGACTAATGGAGTACTGAAATGTAACTATCAAACTCTGCATATTTTATTTCGTTTTTTTAATTAGGAGAGTGGTGGAACTGAGCCCGAGACACAACTACATGTAAGCTATACAAAACTAAGGCTAGAGAGGATGAAGGGTGTTGTAGTTTCGGTTAGGATGAAAAGGATTAAATGCACTTGAGATGATAAACAACACGTTTTTAATCGTACGAGCAAACAAGGGAAATCAGCGCAGGGCCTTGCGCATGTGCGAATGTGTACATACAGCATATGAACTGTGACATCTTCCTAGTTGTTGTAGCGCAGCAAAGGAAAGGATAAATTTGCAGAACCTAACACTAAAATAACATATATATATGGCTATAGAATATAGCCACGCCATCCGCATGCAACCAAATACCGCGAGTAAACTATGACAAAGGGTAAACGAAGTCAATCGTATAGTCCTTTTACAAAAGATAATCCCTCTCATGTTGTTTAACTCTCTCGCTATTCATTCTCTCTTAATTAAGGTCTATAAACACAAAAGAAAGATTACATTTCAAGGCCGTAGGCAGTATGAGACAAACCGAGGCACTTGCCTCAGTCATATTTTCGTTCCTGTAGTCTCTTTTCTGAAGGGAGAAAGTAAACAAAGCTGCCAAGTAGCTGTAGGAAGAGAATTCAACTATGGAAATTGTCTCAGTCATAATGTTTTTCTGGCTACGGCCCTGCAATTTAACCATTTTTCAAAAGAACTTTCACAGTGGAATAATGATATATTTTTGCAATGTGACATAATTTGTTAACTTGCGTTGAAATACTGAAGGCTAAACGTTTAGATAGATGATAGAGATGAATACTGTGATGGTTATGTTCCAGCGAACTTGCAGAGTCTCGTTGCTACTATATAAGCCATCTAAGTTACTTTAGCAGTCGAAATGTGGCAAATAATCAGTTAAGCTTTCGATTAAAAAGTTTGCGTTCTGATATCAGGAAGAAATCGGACGTTCAAGACCGTTCAAACCTGACAAAACAAATAGCTCATTTTCAAACTTTCAGACAATCAATACAGAAGGTCCGAGTTCCTTCCCTGTGGTCCATAACAACTAGTCTGCTGTTGATTTATGCTTTGACTGATGCATTTCCTGTTTCATTTGTATGAATTTTACACCGTAAAATAAAGTCAACAAGAACTTAGCTGAGGATGACTGAATCATTGGTTTAATATGAAAGAACTGGCCATCATGGTGGAAGATTCCTAAACAAATTCACTTAGTTTAAACGAACAAGAATAAAGAATGTGTTATGAAGACACAAGAATCGTAGCCAGTCTCCCTCTTCCTCAGTTCATGCGCCGGAAATTAAACAAACAGGCGATGTCGCTGAAAACGAACTGATATAATACATGGCAACTTGATTGGTTGTTGCTATTTTTTCGATTCTTTATAAACAGAAGGCTCAACTAAAAGAAAATCTGTAGGTCGACTGTAGGTCGACTGTAGGTCCAATAGCTCATGAATACCCTTTTTAACAACAAAATGATAGGGATTGGGACAAGATTGATCTTTCATTACCAGATCCCGCAGGCAACAGAAGAACCTGAAATCTTCTCAGTGCTCCTTGATCTTTCGCTGAAAGATTTCGGTCTATTAATTTTTAATTTTTAAGTCAGTTATTCCACTAAACACGGCCGTTTTTCTTCCATATTCAATTTGAAGCAATTTTCTTGGTAGCAGGCGTAGCAGGCGTTAAACGTGGGAGGCAAAGCGAAGATGGCTGGAGGGGGACCCCGGAGGGGGACCTGCAACGCCGGCTAGTTTGTGCGGGGCGATCACGGTGTAGGTTTCTGGTTTGTGATTGGCTGTTGTGGCTATGCTGCTGCTGGTGTTCATGCTTTCCTTCAACAACCCTTTATCCACCGCTTAAATAAGTCAGCACTACCAAAACAGGTTTCAAACAGGGTAAATATCGTGCGCTCTGTGGTCTGTACTCATCTCGCAGTTCTTTTGTATAAATTCAGAGTAGAGTTAGATAATAATGCTTAGTAGCCTTCTCGCTTCACGCCCCCGTATTGCCGATGTTACAGTCAGAAAATCGATTTATCGCCCTCTCCTATAATAAACGACTCCTCTACCTCCCCTAGCTTGAAACATCATTGTCTTTAGCACCCTTTAGAGATCTTCGTGTTTATTCCATATTACCTATTTTGTATTTAAAAAAAAATTAGTAATGACAATGAAAATCGGGAGAGTCTGGAGTGATCTTCGAAAAACTGAATAAAAGTTATAACGAAGAAAAAAAACGAAACAATGGGAGATAAAAGGTTAAAAACGTGACGGCAAAGGATATTTGTTCCCTTGTTTCAAGGTAGACATGGTGACGCTGAGAGCATGCATGATGTGGGACATGTCCGGGTTGATATATCGTGTTTTGATAGTCACCGCTTCCTTTTAACTTACTTTCCTGTTTAGCAGATATTCGCTGACCTTTTTTTCTCAATGTTTTGTTCACCTAAACCTGCAGTTGACCTGTAACGAAATCATAACACAAAGTTCAGATCCAGTTTAGTTCCCCGGTTTAGTTCACTTTTGTATCTGATCTATTTTTAACAGCAAAACAGCAGTGCTGGTATCATTTTGAATTTCATGTTTTCGTTATTCATTGAAGTCATTGAAGCCCGACGTTCGTCGTTGACGAAACGAATGTAACCAGCAGTCGGAGTAGTTAATTTATCTTGTTACGCAGGTTATTAGAAGCAATGCAACTCACATTTCAAGCCATAAAAAGGTAAGATCGTTCTTCTTTTGTGGATACAGTGCGTAGTGTGCGGTAGGTCTTTCACCCTCACAGAGATAAGAAACGTTATCTGCACTCATGAAATACGCGCGCCAAAAAGATAACCATACAGTTCATGTTTACGAGTTGTAAATCTATTAGGAAGTGAGAAAAAGTCCATCAATCATGGCACGGAATACTTTAATTCTTCCTGATAAGTATCAGCAAATGACAGATTCTCGCCTAATCCGTGGCGGCTTGCCAAGGTCTCCAAGTCGCCGCCATGAATACTGCACGTGTGTTGTTTAGTTGTTGGCGCGAAAGTAAAAGATTTTTGAATACTGCAATAAAGCACTCAATTTTTTCACTTTAAAGTTTATCAGTATTTCAAGAGGCTTCCTAAAGCCATAACATGTTACAAATACCAGGGGAAAATAACACAGATGTTAACTCGTCAAAATGAATTATGGAATTCAAGGGCAGGCATTTCCGGGGTCTAATTGCTTTTGAACAGATAAAAAGTTGGCATGATACCTTTTCTTTAATGTATTTTTTACCCAAAACGTAATGGCTTCACTATGCCAAGAAATCTGAAGCAGTTTAACGGAAATATTTCATTGGTGGTCAATGATCATTTTGTGTTCAGTTCTTTTTCTGTCAAACTACACGTTAGAACGTCCTGTCCTCCTGTTGTAAAAGCACTTAACGTAAGACAAGGTCAAATTTTACAGGGCATACAAGACCTTGGTAATCACTAGTTATGAGTAATTTTCGCTCGTTCATAACAATCAGAGCACTATAGAGGTCTGTCTAAAATCGGTTCCATAGAGATTCGTGTCTTCGTTATGGCAGACTCATGTTAGGGTGGTTGGCGTGGATTGTACCCACGAAGGAATGAAACAAGAAAGGAAAGGAATTAAAGAAAAGTAAAGTCTATAACTGTATAAAAGGAACTGGGAAAGAAAGAAAGAAAGAAAGCCAAAATAGCACAGATGATCCATAACGATAGCGGCGATCCGCAATGATGATGGTGATGATAATGATAATGATGATGAGACGTTTTGGCAAAGACATCTTAAAACATTTCAGTTATTTAATTAAACCTAGAAAGTGACTGGAAAATGAAATAGAATTGCCACGGTTTCGGAATTTTCAACACGATGGCAAAACTAAGCCTTCATAACCAGTTGCAATGAGCCTTTTACCATAAACATAAAGCAAAACATGCGAGACCAACTAATAATCACATCATATCGGAGGAAAATGCCACTGTTTTTGCGGTTTTTTGTCGAGAGATAAACAACTGGTATTTCCTCGGTTCGTTAGTACTCTGTTATCGGCTTCTTTTCAACCGCAGCCTTGTTCTGTCGTCCCAATAGGGTTTCTCTCATGTTAAAAAGTCACAAAAGTAACTTCTTCAACTCTTTGAACAGTTTAAGGAAAAACCTAGAGTATTTTGAACCTACTTTAGTCGAAGTTAACTGCGAAGTGCACTAACGGCTGTAACAGCAGCTATCTTTCATCACTCAAGAATTATTGGTTTAAGACGGTTACGAATTTATGTAATATCAGTTTATCTTTCCTGTTCCGATCAGGAGTCAACGACAATATCGCATGACATGTGTGACCCATTGTACGGCGCCAAGGACCATTTAATTAGTCACCTCAGAATAAGAAGCATTCACTAATAGCCCCCGGGGGGGGGGGGCACTGCCATATATGGGCTATATAGGTATGTGCCGCTGNCTAGAAAGTATTTTTCAGGACAGATCGAAGGTTATGTTAAGTACAATTGTATTAACTGCAGTTAAGCCCTGAAAACGAGACCAAATACTAAACACAGTTCAGCCCTAAGTGCAATCAATCGTTCTGTAATGAACGGCATTTAAAGGGACGTTTAAAACTAAAGTAGATCATAGACAATCTTCCACGTGGAATTTTAAAATAGCTGAAAATAGACACAATAAACTTTGTTCGCTCACCTGAGACTGACTGCCATCTGAAAAGAAACGAATCTTGTGAGATTTCGGAAACGCTGATTAAAATATAAAGCAGTTCCTTAGATTGTAAACAGACAAACTTACTTGAGTAGAAACGGCAGATTAAAGTTCTACGAGCAAGCGATCTGAGAGCAATATTCGCACGAAAAATTGTTGCCATTTTACTACCCGCTCTACTCCCGCGAAATTGTGAAATACCTGCGCATCTTTTTAAGGAACAATACCGCTGATTAACTCCTAACGCTTTCCAAGGATTCGAAGAACTTTCGTAGAGATGGGTACGTTGTCAAAAGTTGCGAATTTTGCTCAGAAGTCAATTACCTTTACTTGTATGGCAGCTTCGGTTTACATCCTGGTTTTTACTGGAAGGAACTATTTGGCTTTGCGTGAAAAGAGGCTTGCGAAAGCAGCGGCTATCGAAAGAGAAAAGATGGAGGGTGTTTCATCAACGGATCAATCGTAACTTAGCCGAGGTAAGCGTAGAATTCACTTTAACTATGAACTCTTAAGTTTTTGTTTAACTCACTGTTTTTTTGAAGTTAATTTTGTGCGTGGTTACGTTGATGTAGAACGGTCCTTTGAAGGAAATATAAATTGAACATTACATAACAAGTGTCGATAGCCATTACCCGGGGGGGGGGCACTGCCATATATGGGCTATATATGTATGTGCCGCAGTGAAGGTTATGGTTTTCAAGCAGTTTACTCTAGGATAGGGTATGTCAATCAGAGCGTTTGGGTCTAGAATAGGGTATCATTTTTCACAAAACTGACTGGTTGGTTGAAGGTTTTATCTAGAGTAAGGAAACCAGAAATTGCCACTCANTGCTGGTTCTATTGGTGCATTAGGTTTTGAGATCAAGAGCTTCTCTCCTACATAAATGTCAAAAAGAGTGAGATTGGATCTTTGATGTACCTTTCACAACAAGTTACGGCAAGGGCAGTCGTGTTTTCTGTCCAAAGTGTGAATTGCAATTTTTTTGTTGAACATTTCTTTTGTATTTTGTCTGTGAGACAGTATGGCTAACTGATACTCTTTAGACTTGTAACATTTGTGGTTGACGATCTATCAGTATAGTTTTTAAGAAATTGTAAAATTGAACTTGTTTACTGCAAAGTGTTGCTTTTTGTATTAGATATGTTATTTCAAGACCACGCATAACCAAGAAAAAGTAAAAATGAACGATTGTAAAATGTGTGGTTTCAGAAAAATATCCATCCCCACTCCTTCCATGGAAGGTCATTGAAAATTCCAAGCAGGTGATGGTTCCCTCAAATGGCAAAGTCTTAAACTGAAAGTGCATGCATGAAGTTTTAAGTAGAATTTCAGAAGGGAGGATTGGCCAGAAGAAAAAACAAAAGACAATGAGTATTTTTTGGGAACAACACAATACAGTGGAAGCCCGCTTTTAAATATGTTACATGCATTACTAATAGCCACTGGTACTTGTGTTGACCCAAACCCGGGGCCCAAAGAGCAATAAAATTTGTTGTGTAAAAACCCTTTACAGTGTGGCTATTATAATTTTGATCTGGGCTACATGAAGGAATTGAGCAAAAAATTCTGATAGAAAGAATTGAACATGAGAGAACTAGGTAAAACAACAGAAAAACAGATGTGCAGTACATGCTTCAAAATTATATGCAGACTTTCTGAAAGTCAGTTTTTGGCAGTCGGGTGGAAATCAACTTCTCACTCATTTTTGCAAATTCATCACTCATGTTCTGCAACTCATGTTCCATACTAGGAAGAAGGATTGTGTTCCACACTAAGAAGTATTTCTGATATTAGACTGGAACTAGCTTGCAACTGAGGCTAATGCGGAGAGCCTTTTCAGATGGAAATGGAATTAATCTCTTTTTAATGATATTCCCAGCATGAGCCTCCATTTCAAGCTAGTTTTAGTCCAATACAGAGAATACGAATATGGCCTATTCTCACATGCTGATTGTCATGAGCCACAGTAAATGGGAACATGACCTTGTGCATGATCTAACTTGTATTGCTATATAACTTTTGGAAAAGTTTGGAAATTGATATCACAATGGCCCATTTCCGAGTTGACCTAAGCCACTCTATCAAGGTGAGGCTGGAGCACAACCATTCATATGAAAA